CTGCCCTGGATGCCCACATGTCTCCAGCCGCCCAAGACCCCCGGAGGGCAGAGGGGAAGCCCCAGGCCTCTGAGTCCTGCCTGCCTGCTGCTGCCTGGCATGAAGGGGAGCAGGAGAGAGGAGTGAGGCCAGCTGCCTGGGCCCAGGGTGGGGGAGCACCCGCAGCCCACCGCAGAGGCCCTGGTGCCCGAGCATGATGCCTCTATCCAGACGGAAGGACAGAGCCGCACAGAAGACAAGAAGCGGAGTTCACTGGGGCGGGTAAGGGAGACCCTCCCAGGGCTTGGATAGCTGCAGTGCTGCCTGATGTACCAGTGCTTGGCATTTCATGATGTGACGGGGCTCGAGCAGTGGCTGGGCCCCGATTCTTCTGCTCTCCAGCCCTCCCCTCCCCTGGGTCTGTTCTGCATCCGCCTGGCCCCTGGGGGCCCACACTGCGACCTTGCCCCAGCCCCTCACCCCGGTGGGGAGGGAGAGGTGAGGACAGCTGTGGCTGTGACTCACAGCGCTATTCTCTGTGGCTAGCACAGCCCAGACAAATGTCCTCCCTCAGAGTCCCCCAGGACGGGTGCCCAGAGTGGACGGAAGGCAGCTGCCCTCTACCTCAGCCCCACTGGGACCAGCAGGATGTCACCTGCACTGCACCCAGCAGACCCAGCCCTGGAGTCCTTTGATCCCTGGAGACACAGCTAATTTCCCCAATTTCCTCCCAGACCAGCTTCCCCTTTTCCTGCGGTCAGGAAGGCTCTGAGGCCCCAGCATAGCTAGGTGTGGCCTGAAGACTGCGAGCAGGGCCCGGAAGAACAGGGAGGGTCAGGAGGGGTCAGGGACAGGGAGCAGCCTGAATGGCAGGACGAGCTAGGCCCCCACCCCTTCCCTTCTGGCTGAGCCCTGTGACCAGAAGTTGTGGGTTCCCAGGGCCTCCCAGGTCCACAGTCTGACCGGATGAGGCGAAGGTACTGGGCCTGTTCAGCCAGAACACACCTGGGTGATCAGTAGGGTCCGGGGCCCCACACCTGAGTGAACAGGTATGTCCAGCAAAAATGCACCGATCGTGTCCGTCACTACCAGGAAATTGCCCCTGAGCAGCTGGGCCGTGGTGCCCTGGGTGAACAGTGTGGCCAAGTGAAATACCTGCATATACCACAATGCCCAGAATCAGGCCGGTGTGCCACCGGCTGGGGCAAGAAAGACCCCTTCCATGGGGAGGCCACTCCAGGGGGCGGCCTCACAGGACAGTGGGGCTCAGCAGCGCCTTGGAGGCCCAGGAAAGGTAGAGGTTTGTGCCTGGGGTCTGTAACTCCCCAGCCCGCCATCCCCAGGGCATCGACGTCTCTCCTCACCTCTTCCTGCGGGTCCCAGACATCCGCAGACCCACCGTCCTCTCTGCTGTTCACGAAACAGCTGGTGACCAGCCCTGATCCAATATTTACTCCTGGAGAGAGGGCAAGGGGCGGGCGACGCCCCACAGCCTGAAGGTGCAGCTGGCTGGGCTCTGGGGGGAGGGGAGGAAGGGTCTGCGCCCTTTCAGGGGGCACGGGGCTTTTCAGTCCTCGGTGCCCGCCCGACCTGGCCCACAGCCTCCTCCTGGCATGGGCTGGGGGGGTGGCTAGGAGGGACTTTGTCTCCAGGGAGGCAGGTGGGAGCTGAGCAGAGGGGAACCTCACTCAGCCAGGGGTTGCCAGAACCCAAAACCATCCCCTTGGGATGAAAATGCGGCCCCAGGAGAGACGGGGGCTCCCTCCTGCAGGAAGGACAGGCTTGCTCTCCTGAGAGGGGCCAGGAGAAGGAGATGGGGACTTGGGTGAGAACGTGCAGGTGCACCCAGCAGCTTGGGGATTCCCGCATTTGCCGTCTTAATTTACCTCTCGAGGCACGACTCTAAATAAACCTTGAATCCCAGGGCGCTGCTGGGTTATTTAAGGGAGAGGCGGCCCTGAAGAGAACTCCCTCACCAGAGGAGCCCGGAGGCCGGGGGAACTGGGGCTTCCTTGAGGAGGGGCAGAGGCGGGTGGGCTCCTGCAGGCAGAGAGGTGCAGCGGGAGGGGAGCCCGAGGGTGCCTGGGCTCCTGACCCACCTGCCTCGGTGTTGAATATCCCAGAGCAGTCAGTCCTCACCGTCACACGAGGCAGACAGGGCTGTCCCACTTTACAGACAAGGAAACCGCTGCTCAGGGAGGCCAAAGCACCTCCCAGTCTCACCGCTTCCTTTGCTCTTTCCTCTGGCCTCAGGCTGGAGCTGGCTCCCCATCCTGTCAGAGGCCCGCAGGCGGGGTGCAGGGGATGAATGTGAGTCTGCAGGAGTGCCCGGCTCACGTGCTTCTCCCTGACCCAGTGTGACCTGGGCCGGTGGCGGTTCAACCTCTCCAAGCTTTTTCCTTTACACAGAGAACCTGAGCACTGGCTGCGGAGAGCTCAGTGGTTGGCAGCTTGCCTAGGAGGTACAGGACCTGGGTTCAGTCTCTAGTCAGGCAAAAGAAAAGGGACTAGATCATGTGGGGTTGAGTGTTAACTGAGATAACGTGTATAAAATATTTAGTACATCGTAGATGCTTAAGAAATCAGAGTACAGGGCTGGAGATTTAGCTCAGTGGTGCCGCCGCCTGCCTTGCAAGTGCAAGGTCCTGAGTTTGATATCCAGTACCAAAAAAAAAAAAAAAAAAAAAAGAAAGAAAGAAAAAAAAGAAAGGGGAGTTCAACATGGCACGGTGGTGCATGTCTATAATCCTAGAACTCTGGGAGGCTGAGGCAGGAGAATCCCAAGTTCAAGGCCTGGGCAATTTAAGGATTTAGCAAGACGATGTCTCAAAATAAAACAAACACAACAAGTAAATAAATAAATGGGCTGGGGATGTAGCTCAGTGCTAAGTTCCTGGGTTCAATTCTAAGTAGTGCAAAATAAATGAAAGAAAGGAAGAATGAAGAGAGAGAGAGAGAGAGAGAGAGAGGGAGAGAGAGAGAGAGAGAGAGGATCGTTCTCAGCTGAGCTGGCTTCAGGAACTGCGCCATCTTGCTGTCAAACTGCCCTGCACTTACAGTGCCCCAGGCTTGGGAGAAGGCTCAATTGCCGTGTCTTTGATATTCTTCTTTTGGTGGTTTGTTTTGTTTTTTTTGGTATGGGGGATTGAACTCAGGACCTTGTGCTTGCAATATGCCTTTGAAATTCTTTTTTTTTTTTTTTTTTTTTTTTTTTGGTAGCGGGGATCTAACTTAGCTCCTTGAGCTTGTGAGGCAGGCAGCGGAACCACTGAGCTAAATCCCTGCCCCCCCATATTCTTAACAGTTCTGAACTAGAAGCTCCGTGCTGTCATTTTGCTTTTAGCTGGTGCTGCTGGTTGGTCCCTTCAGGGTTCCCAGGCCCAGGCGGAGCTCCGACCGTGGGGCGCACATTTCAAGACCAGAGAGAGCCAGGCAGAGCCGAACCTGGCTTCAGGAATGTCCGCAATGGGCATCCGTGGCAGACCACACCCCTGCTCCGAGGAATGGGTCTTTCAGGGGACGCCACAGGCCCCTTCCTGGCAGCCAGCTTAGGTAGGTACCAAATGCCTGGAAACGACGGCAGCCTCCAGGGCCCGGACTCACCTGCTGCACGGGGTGCAGGGTGCGGGCTGCAGGCCCCGCAGAGGCTGGGCTCTGAGCAGCGGGGTCAGGAATGGGCTCAGAGCAGCCGAGCCCCCCCACCGCACCCCCCGCCGCTCAGAGGGGGAAGCCCAAGCCACGGATCTCAGCAGCGGGGCCCCTCGGTTGCTTTTAGAGTCCTGCTCCCGGCGGTCGCTAAACTGGCAGTCTGGGCCTTGACTGACGCCTGCGCAGTAGTCTGCAGGGAAGGCGGAAAAGGGGAGGCTGAGGGGCTGTCTGGCCCCCTCTCCCCCATTTAACCTTAATCCAGCTCTAGGAGTCTTTCACGGGGACCCTGGGGCGGGCGGGGCCGAGGAAGGGGCCCGAAACAGAGCCCGGGGCCAGGTGGAAGCGCATCAGGGGTCAGGGCAGGGAGCACAGCCTCTGACCCCCCAGGCGCCTGAAATCGGAGCTCCCCACGTGGCATGAAAGTACAGGCCCGTCTGCGGGGACCCTTCTCTCCTGCTGCTACCTTTCCAAGTCCTGGGCTCTGAGTGTCGGCCTCTTCCTGGGAAGGAGGACGGGGTGGGGTCCACATTCAGGGATCATCTCAAGGGTAATAATATTAACTGTTACTATTTCTATGCCCTTTCTTTGTGCCGAGCCCGGTTCTAAGAGCTTTTCGTGGGAGATCAGCTGACACTCACAGGAGCCTCCGGAGATGGATATCTTCGTTGTCCCTAGCTTACGGCCGAAGAGGCTGAAACACAGACCGGTGCAGCAACTTTCCCAGGGCCACACAGCTAGGAAACGGTATCCGTGGGATTTGCCCCTGTGAAGCTTGGAGGTGGGAGCCCGTGTTCCTCTTCCTACGCTTGGACGAGAGTGACGCTCCTGAATCCTAACTCAGTGCTCTTTCCAATTTAACCTGCTCGGCCGCATCCAGTTAGCTTTTAGCTGGAAAAAGCTGCACGGACCAGCAGTGCTGACTCAGCTTCCCTTCTACAGTTTGCGCCAGTTTGTGAGGCCGGAGCAGAACACCTTTGGTGGCCTCTGCTGCCACCTGCTGGTCACAGCGAGGTAGGACAGCTGTGTGCTTTCAGGCTTCCCTCGGTCTGGGTGACGTCATCCTCCCTGTGTGGACCATCTACACTGTTGACTCCCAAATCATGCCCTCTTCTGAGATCCCGGTCTGTGTATCCAGATGCAAACGTCTCTGACCCTGCAGTCCCCTGACATCCTGCAAGTGACAACGGTTCCTAAATGACAGAGCCGGAACCGGGCTCTCTAGCCCACCGACACCCCTGGAGGAGGCATGTCGTCTCTCTCTCTGCCCCCCTCTTTCTTTTTGGTGCTGGGGATTGAGCCCAGGGCCTCATACAAGGTTTTTCACTTTTAAATAGTTGAAAAAATAGAAAAATAATCTCTAGTGATGCGTGGAAATGATGATGTGAAGTTGCAATTTCAGTTTATTTCTGCAAATAGAGTTTTATGGAAACACAGTTGAGCTCACGCACTAATTCACCGTCTCTGCCGCTTGCTGCAAGGCCAGAGGTGAGCAGTAACAATGCAAGCTGAAAACAGCCGCTGTCAGGCTCTGGAGAGAAAGCTTTGCCCATGTGTACCCCAGAGAAAAAGGTCACCAGCTACAGGAGTGGCCTGCGGCGGAAGGAAGCCACCCCCAGCCAGGCAAGTTCAAGCTTCAGACAGAGGGTGACAGAGAAGCAGGCGGCGGGACGCGCTGTCCAGAGCACCCACCCTGACTTCGCATGGGCAAACTTTGCCGGACAATGAACCTGCGTCCTCCCAGCCCCTGGTGCAGAGCTGGGCCTGGACAGGAACCCTAGCTCCCCCTTTGGGAGGCTGTGGGAGAGCCACACCTCTAAATGCACCGGGACAGCAGTGCGGGCCCTGGAGGTTGCTGGGGGTTCCGTCCCGAGCACTGTGGTTACGCAGTCAGTGCACCCCGTGGGGGTGGGGCATTCGCCCTCTGCAGACCTTTCGGCCGCCAGTTCGCCGCCAGGCTGCACGAGTGGGTGCAACTCCCGCTCTGTCCACTAGAGGGCAGAAAGGCCCTGCCGGCCTCTGGAGGAGTCAGGTGGAGCTGCCGGGGCCTGGGGAGCGAGCCCTCCCTGCTGTTTACAACGTGACCTTTGATCCGCTCCTGTTGTCTCCACAGCCTGCTGGGGGCCAGACTGTTGCAGTTTCCTGCTGGGGCGGGCCAGGCTCTTTCTAGCCCGCCTATGGAGGCCGGGTCCTTGCAGGAACGCTCCTGGGCCCCGGGCCCAGGTCCTGGATGCAGGCAGAGGAAGCGGCACTACACCCTCTATCGAGGTAACCTGCCCAAGACCCACAGGCAGTGGCTCTGTCCTGGACAGGTGTCCTTAGGGACCACCAATCTCCCGGGAGGCTCTGCCTCCTGCAGCTTCTTACGGCCACCGGATTCTGGCCACAGCAGAGCAGACAGTTTCTTTCACATCGATGAAAACAGATTCCCAGGGAACTGGAGGGCATTCAGTTTTGATTTTGAGGCAGATTCTCGCTAAGTCGCCTAGGCTGGCCTCTAAATTGTGATCCTCCTGCCTCAGCTTCCTGAGCAGCTGCGATTACAGGCCTGTGCCACCACACCCCGCTGCACCTGTCTGTTAGGAGCTTTAGAAGCCATTGGAGACAGATGGGCAGGTACACACAGAATGAGGCCAGGTAGTGGATTCGAGGGTCAGACAGAGACAGGTTGTGTGGAGGATGAGGCCATGGGATTGGAACCCCCGGGGTCTTTCAGGGTCTCAGTGAGCCAGACGGGACATGTTCCAGCAGCAGAGCAGGGGACAAATGGGGGCCCATAAAGTAGGAAGCCGACTGACAGAGCCTTGGATAGCAGGCAAAAGGAAGTAGATTTGGTCCTGTGGCCAGTGGGAGACATCGAAGGTTCTTGAAGGAGGGTGTGACAAAAGCATTGGTGCTTGGGAAAGGCTGATGTGACAGTGGAAAGGACACCGGTACATCGGGAAGGGCACCAAGGAGGACGTGTCTGCTGTTTGGGTTGAAGGGGAGAGGGCTGGGGTTCAGAATGAACTTCAGGGCATCAAGCCTGGTGTGTTCTGGGGTTGAGGAGGCCATCAGGTAGAAATGCTGTTTGAAGAGATCTGGTACAGGGCTGGACATGGGAAGAACCAGGCTTAGCGTGGGTGAGGAGGGACCAGCCACACTGACCTCTGAGGCCCAGGGGACCCCAGGAAGGGTATGTGTGGGGTCCCCCACCAATCAGTCCCTTGCCTACCCCAGCAGGCTGTGTGCACTGGGGAGATCCAGGCAGCTCTGGGGGCCAGAGCCCGGCTGACTCTGAGGTGCATGGTGCTGTGCGACCAGCAACCGTGACAGGTTGGGGGGATTTCCCCCCATCCCTCCAGACAGAATAAGTAGAGAAGTCAGGGCTTGTTTGTTTCTTCTGGTACAGAACCTAGGGCCTTCACACTGAGCTGCGTCCTCAGCTGTTTTCATCGTTTATTTTGAGACAGGTCTCGATAAGTTGCTAAATCGCCCAGGCTGGGCTCAAACTTCCTTCTTGCTCGGCCTCCCTCCGTGCTGGGATCACAGGGCACCGCTGAGCCAGGTTCTGACAAGACTGCGTGGACAGACTGGGACGGAGATGCTCTTCCTGTCAGAGCACAAACACAGGTAGGGGCGCCAAGAGCAGCTGTCCTGGTGGGACAGCAGGGGACCAGCCTGAGGGGCCCCAGGGGATGAGGAAGACGGGAACTGGAGGAAATGCGGCCCTCGGTGACACCCCGAGTTGCTCCTCCAGTCCCTGCTTAAGCCATTTGCGAAGGGACAAATGTCCTTTCTGGTTTAACCCAGATAGGTAGAGTTGTTTCCAGCAGATGGAAGATTCCTGTCACACCGCGAAGCTGGAGAGTGTCAATGCTTGGTAACTGAAGGAGAACATTTCAAAACGGAGAGAGGAGTGAACGGCATCAATCGTGAGTGTCGGGCCAGAGACAGACGAAGAAGCTCCTAGAATCACGCTGCTCTTATACCTGGAGTCAGGACGTTCAATCCCTGTACATCAGGGAGAGAGCTGCTGGGTCCTTGGGGAGCTCTTCCTGGGGGTTTTCCTTGCCCGTGTATCCCCCAGGCCCTGCTTAGTTCCTTTCCAGAAACGTCTGGCGTCTTCGGGCATGCCCAAACGCATGCCATACCCCACTCCCCTAACCTCTACCTCAGATAAACAAGTGTCTCGCATGTTACAGACCCCATGGGCAAAAAGTGACTTCATTCCTCCTTCCTCACCACCCAGCCTTGGGCTGGTTCCCCCTGGTGTCCAGCTCATCCTCACTGGGGACCCCAGGCCTAGCAGGTGGGTCCTGCAGGGTGTCTGAAGGTGACGTACCCTGTCCCCAACTCGGCCGCCCAGGCTGCCACAGGGCCAGCTCCCTCCTGAGCGGATTAGCATGCAGTCTGGATGGGGCAGCTCTGAGAACGATGTTGGAGCAGAGCTTACCTAAGCACAGATAATGTCCTGGGCGAGTCCCAGCACACTCAGAATCCACTGCCGGTGCTAAGCCTCTCTTTTGTCCCAATTGTTGCTAAAACACCTCGCCCAGACTTCCACCAAGTGCCCTCCCTCCTAGACTGAACTCCGTGCTCTGGGTCCCAGCCCTGGTGGAGTACAGCTAAGGGGCACAGCTGGCAGCTTATGTCCCTCAGACTAAACATGCAAAGGAGACCGTGCAGGGAGTAAGCTGCCCCCGGTCACACGGAGGTCAGGGTCAGGGCTGGGATTCACCTTCGACCTCACACGTACCCCCAACTCCTTTGTCCCCTCGCCCCAGACTTCCTGGAGCCCTGATAGGCGACCTTACCACCATGGGTCCAGCCTGGCATGGTGTCCTCCTCAGCTTGGTGCCAGTTCCCGCCCCGGGGTGGAGCCACGGGCTACAGCCACATCACGTGGAGGAAGGTGGCGCTCAGAAGTGCCAGGGAAGACAGAACGGAAAAGTCCTGTCCCACTCTCCGGGGACCCGGGGCTCAGGAGTGGGGCAGGACCAGTCATGCCCCTCCCCAGGAGACAGACGGCAGGGACAGCAGGGCACTGCGGGTTGGGGCTCCAGGGCAGGGCTGGTCTTTCCAGGAACTCGTAGGGGTAGTGGAAGGGAGTGAGGAGACCTGAGTCTCTTCCGGAAGTGCTGACTGGTTCTGCCCAGACTCCTGGGGCCTGACGACCTCCTCCTGGGACCCAGAGGGTGTCTGTGGCTGGATTCCTCCATGCAAGGCAGTGCAAGCTCAGAAGCACAGATGTTGCAGCCAGGCATCTTGCCTGCTGCTTTCTAGCTGTGTGACTCAGGGCAAGTGACAGAACCTCTCTGTGCTGCCTCTCTGTCTGCTCTGCAGCTCGGCTGTTCTCCTTCTCTCGCTGCAGAGTGTTTCTCACCGCAATGGCTGGCCCTGAAGAGGGGCCTCCAGCACATCGCTCCCCGCTCCCCACGCGCTCCCCTAGCGGCTTCCTTTTTCGTCCTTCTCCCTGTTGGGAAAGAGAGCTCCCAGGGTCAGGCTTGGGTCGCGGGTGCCCAGAACTCTGCCCAGGGTGCTGATGAATGTGCCGTGTTCTCTTCTGGGGCTCTGGCCCGCTGTGGGGGTGCCTGGGCAGGGGGCTTGGCGGGTATCGCTGCAGTCCCCGGCGTAGGCACTGACATATGTGTCCTTCCTCCAGGCCCCAGACTGGCTCCACTGCTATGGTTTAAACATATTCCCCAAATATCCACGTATTGCGGGCTTGATCCCCAACGCGGCACCGTGGGCCTGGAGCGGTCTGGCTCAGGGGGCACTGGCCTCACTGTGGATTTAATCCACTGAGTGGTCAAACCGAATGGGCTGTCGGGAGGTGTGGCCGCTGTAGGAAGTGAGTCAGTGGGCGTGGCTTGGGAGGCCTCGCCTCCTGCTTCCGGCCTCCTGCTTCCCGTCCCTCTCTGCTTCCCGGCTGTCTTCAGTTGAGCATCTGTCCTCCGCCAGGCCCTTCCTCGTGTTTCTCCCTGGGAGCGGAAATCTCTCCTCCTTTACCCTAAGGATGTCAGGTATTTTGTTTTGCAACAGACAGTCGACTAAGACAAGCGGCAAGGGCACAGTGATGGGCCAAGCCAGGCAGAGCACCAGAGCCTCCATTCCTTGGCTGCCGGAGGGGACCAGCAGGGGGAGGCACCAAAGTGAGACATGGTTTATCCAGAGGGCTGCTGTCCTCAACTTTCCTTGGGCTTTCGGGGGTTCCCGGGACGTGGGGACCTGGTCATAGTGTAACCCAACAAAGTTCCCCAGGGTGGAGTCAGCCACAAACTGCCTGGAGCCCACGGGTGGGGACGATGACCGTGATCCCTTCTGTACCAGGTGGCGCTGGGACGGATTCATCTGCCGTCCATTGCGCTTGACTCCCAGTTTCCGCTCAGCGACTTCCGGAAGTTAGGACCTTCTGCACTAGGCACGCGCTAGTTGCAGGGAACGTGACCTGGGTTAAACACTCGCAGCCCCCACTCCTGTAACGTGGAGTTATGAGACACACAGGAAACGAAACGATGAAGATGAAATGGGGTGAATTAAGATGAAGAGCCGGGCATGGCACGTGCAACTGTAATCCCAACACTCTGAGGCTAGAGGATCGCCAGTTGAAGCCCAGCCTGGGCAACTTTGTGACTTAAGGAGACCTAGCCTCATAATACAAAGTAAAAATGGCCGGGGATGTAGCTCAGTGTGCAGGTTCTGTGTTCCATCCCCAGTACAACCACCAATAAATAAATAAATAAATAAGAAAAAAAAGTTGAAGTTGTGCAATGTAGTGGAAGTGAATGAAATAAAACAGTCGCACTGGGACCTTCAGGACTGCCCTCTGCTACAGTGGTGACCACCGGTGGCCAAGACATGGTGTCTTATGCTCACAAATGCTTGGCACCCGAACCCCCACTCCCTCCCTGCCCTCTCGTGCCAAGGGCTGACATTGATGCCCTTCAGCATTTCAAGAGCTTTGAATGATCAAGGGCTTGAATCAGAGACTCCGGGGCCCTGCCAGCTCTGTGTGCTCAGAGCCACAGAGAAGGGGTTCAAAGTGTCTGGGAAGAAGAAGCGGACAGCCTTGCAATCCCTAGTCACCCTCAGGGAGCTGAGGTGCCCCCCTGCGCCCCTGTGTCCTATTTGCATCTGGTGCAGTCAGGCATTGTTTAAAAACTTGGTTCTGGAGCTGCACAGCCCAGACTGGAACTCCACCTCCGCCCTTTCCTAGCCATATGAACGTTATGACAAAGCCACCGAATCTCTCCAAGCTTCAACCTCTGTGTTTTAAGGTGTTTACAATAGTGCCTGCACATGGTTAGCTCTCTGTGTGCTTTGTTTTTATTTCGGGAGTACTAAGGCTCTAATTCTGGGCCCCCCACATGCTAGGCAACTACTCTACATCCCCAGGCCTTTTAAATTTTTATTTTGAGACAGTGTCTCCCTAAGTTGCCCAAGATGGTCTGAAACTTGTGGACCCTCCTGCCTCAGCCTCACAAGTGGCTGAGATTGCAGATCTGCACCACAGATGCACCCAGCTGGCACTGTCACTGCCTTTTCGACATTGTGTCTCAGTTACTTTTCTTCCTCCCCGGGCCAAGCAGGCAGGCCAGAAGTCTTTGTTGAGTTGTGACTGACTGCATAACAATGTGCATGCCAGTGTGCAGGGCTGGAGAACGGTGCTGCTGGAGTGGGCGGGGTCTGAAGGAAGACTCCAGGGTCTCAGGCCTGGTCTCCTCCCACGCTTCTTTTCCTGCTCCCGGACCCCTGGGTGCCTTGACCCTTTGCCAAGGAATGAAAGTTTCGGGCTGGGCTCTGGGGCGAGAATGCAGTGAGGTGGAGTCTGGAGCCAGCGCAGAGGATTTCAGCTTCCATTGCTGGGCTCCTGGCCCAGGGACAGCCTGCGTGGCCCTGTGGGACGGATGAAGAAGCCCGGGCCGGGCAGAAGGCACCCTGGGAACCCCAGGATGCAGGCACAGAGATGGTGGTCCTTGTAGGGCCTGGCCCAGCAGGCTGGGAGGGGAGGAGGGGCACAGTCTGGGAAGCCCAGCCCTTCCGGGAGCCCTGGGGTGGGGATGGGGGAGACACCGAGGGCCCCACTCGGCAGTGTGGAACCTGAAGCTCATGCCAGGGGTGACTGTTCTCAGGGGCTCCCGGCAATGGCTTCTTGTCACCTGCTGTGGGTGGGGCTCCAATCATCAGCAATGGACAGATGGTCGGATCTAGGCTGAGGGCTGTCATTGGGATCATACAACTTGTGGCCTTCTGTGACTGATTTCTTTCTTTTAGTATGTCTTCAAGGTTCATCCATTCCAAGGTTATTTCATTCCTGTTTACAGCTGAATAATATTCTACTGTTTGAATGTAGCACATTTTATCTATTCATCAGTTAATAGACATTTGTGTTGTTTCTGCTTTATGGCTATTATCAGTTAAGCAGTTATGAACACTTGTGTACAAGTGTTTGTTTGAGCATATGTTTTCCAGTTCTCTTGGGTGTGTACCTAGGAGTAGAACTACTGGGTCATATGCTAACTCCATGTTTAACATTTAGAGAAACTGCCAAAGTTCTTTTCCAAGCATCTGCACCATTTTACATTTCCACCAGTAATGCACGAGGCAATTTGAGGCAAGATTTTCACTTAGAATTTTGCTTAGGAAGTGATCCCAGGAGCACAGGTAGAAGCGTGGGGCCGGGAGAGAAGGGAAGGCAGCCGATAATGGGTCATTATCAGGCAGTTACCACCGAGAGCCACAGAAGCGCTAGGCCAGAAGGGCAGCTCTGCAGCCAGCTTGCACTCGGGGTCCTCCCACCTGAGGGGCAGGCAGTGGGTGTGGGAAGTTTTCAACAACTTTCAACAGCCATTGGTCGAGAGCTTCCGGCTGTGTGTGTTAATTTCCTGTTAATTCTCTTCTTCTTGATGCCAAGGCGAGCCAAGCAGGCACAGCAGGCGGAAGTCATCTGACAAAGATGCAGATGCTGGCAGAGGGAGTTCAGCCCGCTGTGGTTAGGGCAGAGGTGAGCAGGCGCCGCTGCACCTGCCACCGAAGCTCCCGCCCTCAGGAGCTGCACTGTGCCGAGAGCTACAGACAGACATGTGCTGTGTAGCCAGGCAGGAAAATATAGCAGGGACAGGGAGGAGAGAGATGTGGGAAGCTGTGTCAGCCCAGGGCTGGCATCCTGAGGATTTTAGCTGAGATCTGAATGGAATGAGCGACAGGCTGTCTGAAGCCAGCTGCATGTCTGCGTTAGAGCCCGGGCTACCAGAGTGACAAGAGCCAAGGCGCTGCATTAAGTCAGCTTTCCCATCACTGGGACAAATCATCTGACACGCACAGCCTGAAGGAGGGAGGTCCATTTGGCTTACGGTTCAGAGGATTCAGTCCAAGGTCAGCCAGCTCCAAAGTCCGTCGGCCTGGCAGACCAGCCTGGTAGAGGAAAGCTGTTCGCCTCCTGGTGGCCAGGCTGCAGAAGCGGGGAGCAGCTGGGGCCAGAGAAACATCACACGCTCCCCGTCGCACCCCGGAGACCCACCTGTTCTGACCAGGCCTCGTGTCCCAACAGCACAGTTAGCTCTGAACTCTTCAGGGGATCAATTCAAGGATGAGTCTCGCACCCCATGATCCTGTCACTTTTCCAAAGCCCCACAACTAAGCCCATGAGATGTGGGGGAACTTCCAGATGAAACCGTGCCAGGGATTGAGAAAGTGGGGAGTAACCGTAGCTGTTGGAGCCACTGCGTGAGGACCAGAGTGGTTTCTACAGAGCAAATGAGGCAGAGCCCAGTAAGAAACAAGATCAGAGACACGAGCAGGGGCCTTGCCAAGTTGGGCTGGGTTGGAAATAGGTTAGATTTTGTTCAAAGGTAATAGAAGCCACTGATGACCAGAGCAGGGAGTTTCTGGTCTGGTTTATTGCTTAGTTTCTTGCTGCTGGGTCTCAGGAGTGGTGAAACTCCCTACGCAGCCGTCAGTGGGGCTGTTAGGCCTCCAGACTGTCTAATTTTGCTACTGGGCACCTGGCCTGAGCTGACGCCCTACATTCTCCCCTTCACTTACTGTTTCCCCGCACTGCTCTGCTGTTGTAGGCGCTGGCCAGGGAACATGCTTACTTCCAGCCCTGCCTTCAAGGGACCTTGTCCCAGGGTCCTTGTCATACTGGAAAGAACAAAAACATTCCCGGAGAGCCTATGGGAGAATCGATGGAGGCTTTGGACTCCAGAATGAAGCAGCCACAAGGGGTACATAGGGCTGCAGATGCTTTGAAATTTCAGAGGTGTCAGAGGGACTCCAGGGGCCGACCAGCCTTGCTCTCCTGGCAGACGCTGGCCCTACCTCCAAAGAAGGTGTCATCTTCCTCCCTAGCAGAGACCCTAGGCCGCGGTAGAGGAGGGCACGGCAGGCAGGATCTCCCCAGCATGGAGAAGACAGCAAGGACTCCAGAGTGGAGGACCAGAGTGTGCTCATCAGCTGCTCCAGGCCTGTGGCCTGGGAGGAGGAGGGGCAGTGCGGGGTAGGGGAGGAAGGAGGCGCAGCCTGGCCACAGGGGAATATTGATGAGTTTTCAGGCAAGAAGTGACGGAGCTGGTGGGGATGGTGTAATGAAGACAGATGATGCCAGGCCAGCTCTATGCATCTCCTGCTGGAGGGGTGGGGCGGGCTGCCAAATGCCCACTGCCCTCTCCTTTGGCATCGAAGTTCTCCAGCTGCCTCAGCCTCTCCCCTGCCATCCTCTGCCCCCTCCCCTTTTCTGCTCCCTACTTGGCTTTCTTGGGATGAGGCCCTTTCTCCTCCACTTTTCTCTCTTCTGCCTTCTCTCTCCATTTCTACCCTTGTCTGTTTGCAGCTTTTCCTGCTCATTTCTCTCTGTGGCCACCCCAACCCCGGCCTCCCCACTGTGTCCTCCAGAGTGGCGTGTAGGCTTTTCTCAGGGGCCTTCTGCCCTCTGGCAGTGCCCTAGACAAAAGCCAACTCCACCTCGCCAACACCTGCCCACTATGCGCTGGCAAACCCTGCGGCTGTGGCTTTCTTCAGAGTCCAGGTTGGGAAAGGCCAGGAATTATTTTTCTCTGATTCATTCATATTCTCTCTCTCAGGATTGGACCCAGGGACATGCCCTGAGATGCATCCCAGCCCTTTCTTTCTTTCTTTCTTTTTTCTTTTTGGATTGTTCCTTTCTTTATTTTTGAGGTGGGGTTTTAATAAGTTGTTAAGTTTACCCAGGCCTGGCTCAAACTTTCCATCCTCATGCCTCAGCCTTCCTGAGTGTGCCCCCCATTGTGATAAAACACATAGAACATAAATTTATTATTAACAGCATTTAGTACATTCACAGTTGCTATACTTTTAATCTCGAGTGCCCACGGATTAAATGCTGGATCACCTCATGTGATTTGTGGGAGGTGGAGCACTGTGGGCCTTTTTTAGGCCACTGGGGGTGTGCTTCAAGGGAACAGTGGTATTGCAGCCCCTTCTCCTTTCTCCCTCTTGCTTGCTGGCCAGGCCCCAAGCAACAGGACCAACAGACCATGGACCAGACCTTCCAAAACCGTGAGCCAGAATAGAACTTGTCTCTTTTTAAATTGACTTATCTCAGGTATTTGGAATAGTAACAGAGAACTTACTAATGCAACAGTGTGCATCATTACTGCCATGGAAAGAGCATTTCATCAAAAGGAAACCCCATACTATTAAGTTACTTCCCATCCCCTCTTCCTTTCAGGCCCTGGAAACTGCTAATTGGCTTTCTGTACCTAGGGATTTGCCTGATCTGGGCATCCCACAGAAACAGATGCATACATGTGACTTTTCATGTCTGACTTCTTATGTTTAGCTCAAGGTACAATGTCTCAGTACTTCAGACCTTTTATCCTGGCTTTAAATATTCTGCAGTAGCATTATGCCATATTTTTTCCATCCATCCATCTGTCCATCCATCCATCATCCATTGGACATTTGGCATGATTGGGGCCATCAGAAACAGAAGCCCAAGTAATGGCTTCTACCTATGTGGCTTTGAGTAGCCAGGTACACCTTTGAACCGGGACAGTTTTACCTGTATATCAGAACTATAAAATTTTCCATCCCTAGTGCTGTTGTAGAGCTTAAGAAAAAATCACCTATGGTCCTCCAGCTTGATGGGCGGCACACTGCATCTCATTGTTCTCATTTGCTACAGAACTTGGATCCGTATTCAATAAAGAGTCATAGTAAGTCAGGTGGGCTAATGTCTGCTATTGTGTTCTCCATCTTCTAGACCATTTAATCAATTTTTAATGCATTGTTTCTCAAATTTTAGTGTCTTTGAAGTTGGCATCCATCTTACAACCAGTGATTGGGCAGTAATTGTCAGTTGTCTTTATTTTGTAGTGATTTGTAAAATAATTGTGCTTATTACAATCAGTGGATGAAGGTTGGTAGAATATGCCAGGCACGCCAAGCTCGGTGAAATGAAACTGACTTCCTAATGAAGTCCTTGTGATAATGGGACCTTGTAAGTTAACCCATGTCCCAGCTGAGGAGATCTCAGCTGAGTGAGCTGCTTGAGATGGAAAGACTGATTTACTGGAGGTGACATGACGTCTGCAGCATCATTTCCAAAGCCACGCAGGCACACCTTCCGGGCACAAATGGCTGTAAAGCACATGCTGCCATGATAAGGCCAGAGAGTCAAGGAGACCGCATATGACCAGGCTTTGTAAGCTGGGGTGCTTGAAGGATGTGAGAGGTTATTGCTCTCTCATCTCCTGAAGCACCGCCTCCCTGCTCTGCCTCCTCCACCCTCTCTAGCACAGGAGCAACCACATACAAATACTGAATATTTTTGCCTTCATTAAGACAGACCAGATATTGTAATTATGTCCCAGGGAGCAGAGGGCTCCACCGAAGGGAGGAGGGGCAGGTGGCTCAGAGTCACTCAGCCATGCAGAATTCATGAGCTTGGCTAATTGGGCATCTCCACTAAGAAGCATAATTTAGCTGCTTGAGAAGGAAACCATTGCCTGGTTGTCCTAGCCCCGCTCAAACCTCGTCTCCTTCTGGAGTCTTCCATGGGCCAGGAGGCCTCTGACTTCTCAGTGGCAGGCCGACAGCCTGGCCTGCACATGCACAGCTCCTGGGGAAGTCTCCTTTGCCCTGCTAGACAGGGAACTGTTGGAGGGCAAAGTGTGTGAGCCCTAACCGGGGCTCATGGTGCATAGTGGGTATAGAGCCAGAGTATCGGGAGGTAGGGGTCAGAGCAGCGTCCAGCCAGATGGCTGGCATGGGCCAGCCCTCTCTAGAGCTGGTGACAGATGAGATTCTTAGGAGATTACCTAAGAGAACGTGCTTCAGTAGAGAAGGGTGAATCTCTGCATTTTTAGCAAGCTTCCCATTAACACCATGCTCAGTTCAGCAAGAAACCCCTGAGTGTGAGGATGGAGCTAAGGGATCCTGCAGGTGCTTCCCATCCCGACGGCCTGAGATGTATATTCCTGTCTTCTAAGCGTTCGCTTCCCCTTGCCCTTGTCATAGAGGCCATCTGTGTGCCTCGGTGCTGCCAGAGTAGGCAACTGAGGCTCAGCTCAAGCTCAGGGAAAGCCGGAGAGGATGGAATCACTGCCCCTGATCCGAACAAGAGCACAAGGGAGATGGGAAGGCAAAGCGGGGCAGTGAGCTGGGGCTGAGGGCAGCCGGGAAAGAAGGGGCCGAGCGGCCAAGCAGGAGGTGCGCTTGGACCTTGGCGGTCTCTGAGGGCAGGCCGGTCCTGTACCCTCCTACTGCGACCCAACCAGTCGGTCAGAGAAGGGACACCAGCTGGACCCCTCTCTGACTGCACCTCCAAGAGGGCTCACGAGGTCCCCAAGAAGAGCGGGCTGCTGAGGTTTAGCAGCACTAACGTCAGAGGGCCAGGACAACACCCAGCACCTGTGTGCACACCCAAGTCCACAGAGCGGGTGGCCTGGACTGATGCCACAGAGACCGCCGTCCTAACCCTTCACCTGCGTCTCTGATGGCTCCCCTTGTCAGAGGTGGGCACGTATGCACTGCCTAACTTAATCTCTGTGCCAATCCTGCTGCTAAACTCCTGGGAGAGGCAGGAGATGGGGCCAAACTTGAACAACATCACCTGATTCTTTTGGCCCTGAGCGTTGCACCTCTTCCTCAGAGGTCCACCTCGGCCCTCAGCCCTCTCTCCTTCATCCTCTCCAGCCTGTCCCCGCCTCTCTGACAGCAAGGGGCTTACAGCTCGGCTCAGTATGTGTCTGGGCTCAGGATGCCTCCCTTCTGTAGATGTGGCTCTGTGGTGGGACTTTCTGGAATTCTTGCCACACCGTGACAACCTCAGCACGCTGTCCTGTGGAGTCCCAAGACTGGGGCTTCTGGGTCTCCTGCAAACTTGTTCTTAGACAGTGGGCGTTATGTGCAGGAGTTCAGGGTCATTCCTGTTTGAACGTGTTCATCTATGTGCTTCTTGGGTGTGCCTACCCCATCCTCTACATGCACGCATACATACATATGGACACACACATGCACGAGTACACACACATTCCTCTCTGTGCAAAGGTGTACATTTTGGAAAATCTGCCCATGGTGACCGTCTGTTTGCTGTCCTTCTTCAGAGTAGGGAGACAAGGAGCCTCCTGACCCCATGGTGTACTCAAGCAGGCAGCTTCATGACGAGAGGAGGCTCTAAACCAGGCTGCCTCGGTTGGAAACCCAGGACTGGGCACTCAGCTCTGTGGCCTCGGGAAGTTAATTTTGTCTCTGTGTTCAGGGATCTTTCTTGTAAAACTAGGATAACTGTACCAACCTTACTTGTTAGTTTGAGGGTTGAATGTGGTTCTAATTGGAAATGCCTCCTCCTCCTCCTTGCCCTGCTGCTTCTGGTTTTTCTGGGGTCTCCAGTCCTGCTTTCCTGCCTTGACATCTTCTTGAATCTGCTCAATCATGCTTGGCCTGAGTTACAAAGGAGCACCCAGGATTCTATGCTGGGAGGGCTTCAGCTGAGCCCAATCCAGCCCCTTTGTTGTACAGTGAAAAGACCCCAGCCCCCTGCACCCGTCTACTGCTTTCTGCCATCCGGTCACTGCGTTACACCTTTCCCCTCTCCAGCTCGCGTAGCTGTGGGATCAGGCAGCCGCTTCTCCAAAGCAGCCAGTGAGTGCCGCACTGCCAGCTTGCTGGATTTATGGCTTTCTGTGCGATGGCAGGGTCCTCCGGGGGCCGTGCAGCTCAGGAGTGATGGGCCAGCAGAGACCGGCTTTCAGTGCACTTGGCCCAACTTGTCCATCACCTCCTGGAGCCGGTTGCGTGGAGAAGACAAAAGGAAATACCAGGGCCAACATGCTGACCACATGTTTATGTTCCTCATTCAAATCCGAAATCCCCCATCGGGCCTGCTGGGAGTGATTCAGCAGAGAGACGCAGAGACAGGTCTCCCACAGGGAGGAAGGAGGACCGCAGGGAGGACTCTGTCGGTCCTGGCGGCGGTGTGGTCCTGCTCCATAACTCAGTAAAGCTGTGCCCGAGGGCCAGGGCACTGTGATGAGAAGGGGGTGGACAGGGGCTCCGATTTCTCTAAATTCTCCTCCATTCTCTCCAGAGCAAGGTTAATAATTATGAAACCAGCTTCAAGAAAATACCCAGCCTCCATCAAAACCACCGCCTTTAGCCCCTCTGTAGAAATTCTGGGCCCAACCCTCTGCCAGAGAGGAACGTGGGGAGGCCTCACTGGAATATTTGAGTTAATTTTATGTTCGTGATGATGGATGTTGGGTAGCTACTTTTTTTCCAAATAAGGAAAAAAATATAACCATTTCTTAAGATAAAGGGCATTCTAACACACAACATACACAGCACACAAAGAATGGACAAAATGTCAGACTAAAGGACAATCCTTCAAACCAGATTAATTTGGCTTCATTGAAACACCGCTAGCTTGTCTATATTTGCTTTCTGCAGCAGAAGTGTGACGCTGAGCCTGGAGTCCTGGGATCGAACTCAGGATCTGCCACTGAGCCCGGTGTGACTTCGGGTAAGGAAACCAGCAGAGGTGGACGTCGCACGCTGCCATCCGTCTCTCCATCTGCCAAACAGGGGAGATAACCCTGACCTCGCAGGGTGGGCAGAGTGGGGGAAGGGCGGACGCTGCCAGGTGTTCATGAAGAGATAGGCCGGTGGCCCCGGAGAGTTCTGTAGATTCCCAGGACGATCCAAGGAAGTAGGTGTCACCATGACCACCGCACCAGGCAGGAAACCGAGGCTCAGAAGATGAGCGTAGTCACAGGCCCAGAGTTAGCACCTCTGCCTGCTGTGTACAGAGCCCAGGCAGAGAGGAGGGGAGGGAGGGGATGCGAGCAAGCTCCTGGTCCGGGTCTCACCTTGTCTGTGGAGGAGAAAGAGAGGCCATCGCCATGACAGGAGGCAAGGGAGTGCTGGGGGTGCAGACTCAGGGAAGTCTGTGTGGCCCTGCGGCTCCAGGACAGGTGGCCACCATCACTAAAAGTTGTTTTGCAGCTCGTTTTCTCTGTGACACGCAAACAAACAAGGGACACTGTCTTGTTTGTGGAGAAAAAACAGATTTAAAATAAAACCCTCATTGTTAAATCCCTAGAACTACTGGTACTGTACAGCAGTACCTGGCACAGAGTAGCAAATTGTTTGTTTTGTTTTGTTTATTGCAGTCTTGGCGAGTGAAATATTGCAGTCCTGGCGAGTGAAACCAGGCCTTCATACTGAGCTACATCCCAAGCCATTTTTATTTTTTATTTTGAGACAGGGTATCACTAAATTGCAAAGTTGCCCAGGCAGGGCTCAAACTTGCAATCCTCCTGCTTCAGCCTCCCAGAGGGCTGAGATTATAGGCATTCACTGCCACACCTAGCTATAAACTCATTCATTTAATAAATATTATGGGGCACCTACTATGTACTGGTTGTGATGCAGGTGCTGGCGAGGAAAGAGTGACAAAAGCAGATTAAAGCCCTGCTCTTATAGCAAACATAGAAACGAATGGGTTAAAAAAAAAGAGAAAGAAACCAACAGGTGAAACAATGTGCCATAAAGCTGTGACTAAAACAAGAGAGAGTACTGGGACAGCCACAGCCGGCAGTGGAGGGGCTCTTCTCAGGCTGATGAGGAAGCTGTTCAGGCCAGCATACAGGAAGGGTGTTCCAGGCAGAAGGAGCAGTGGTTGCGAAGCCTGGTGGCAGAAACAATGCTGGATTCTGCTGGGAGCCACAGAAAGGAGTGACAGGTGGAGAGGAGTCGAAGGCAGGGAGGTCTGGTAGAAAATGAGAGGCAGGGGGTTCAGATCATGTAGAACCTCATAAGCCAAGTTAAGAAGCTTGGATTTTATTCTAATTCCAGTAAGAAGTCTTTGGAAGGAATTAAGCAGTGGGGGGAGTGTGATCCGATCGATGCTTTAAAACATTCCCTCTTGCTTTTAGGAGGAAAGTAGACTTCCAAAGAAGGGTGAGTGGGAGAGGGGAGGGGAGCGGCTGCTGCAGTCCGGGGGAACAGAGGGGGCTGCACGTAGTGGTGGGATTTGCTTACAGATTTGCTTGCTGTACAGGGCGAGGCAGAGAGGAGTCAGGACACCCTGGGGGTGTTGGACAGAGCTCATGGTGCTAGTAAATGAGACCGCGGAGGAACATGTTGGGGCAAGACGATAGAAATCAAGAATTCCACTATGGACACATTAAGCTTGAAATACCCAGTAGACATTGTTACAGCTTCCCCAAAAAGATCTGCAGAAGCCCTGGTTGCCATTGCCAGTGGATATGGCCTTAGTTGGAAATTAGGTCTTTGTAGATGTGATGGAATTCTGATAAGGTCCCATGAGTGGCCCTAATCAGATGTGACAATTGTCTAAGAGGAACATTGGACCTAGACACACACAACATGAAGATGCATCCAGAGGCCACCAGGCAAAGATGGAGAGGAGCGAAGCTGGGGTGACTTTGCCATGCCCAGGAAGGCCTGGGGCCACCCGCAGCAGCAAGAGGCAAAGAAGGAGCCTCCCCTCCAGGGCTCAGAGGGAGTGGATCCTGCCGACACCTTGATTCCAGACTTCTAGACACCCCAACTGTAAGACAATTCATTTCTGTTGTTTCGAGTCCCCTGGAGCTTGGCACTTTGTTTCGGGAGCTCCGGGAAAGCTGGCGGGACATCCCCGTGGGTATTTGGTTTCTAAGTTATAGGATGGAATGTGATTGCCTAGAGATTGTGTAGGGACAGTTGCGAGAAGAGAGCCCAGGGAGAGACAGATGAAGGGTCACCGAGGCAGGTGTGGGAGCGTCTCAGGAAGGGAGGGTCTGCAGTGTCACTCTGGTGGGCCATCCAGCCAGGCTGGCTTCCACCCGTGGATTTGGGAAGGTAAAGGTTATTGATGACCTTTTTTGAGAAAGATTTCATCAAGGTGTTGGGGACAAAAGACACCCTGGAGGGAGCTGAACACAGGAGATATATATTTATATAGATTGGTCTATCTATCTATCATCTATATTTTTTTATACCGGGGATCAAACTCAGGCAGGCAGCAGAACCACTGAGCTAAATCCCCGGCCCATACAGGATGTATTTTAAGGTGGGAAACTTTGAGGTTCATTTTTACACAAGTGGTTATAATCTAGGGGCTGACGATTGAGGAGACGGAGGGAGAACTGCAAGGGAGCTGCATCAGTAGAAGGGACCCACTCAACCCAGATGGGAGCAGACTTCACCTTGCCTACCTGCAAGGAAGGCAGAGCGTGTGAGTGGTCACAGACGGGGTGCAGGACTTTGTGACGAGAAAATGTTCATCTATTTACACTGATTTGTGTTTCTTATATCTATGAAACGTGGGGCAGGGTCTATGCGGGATGGTGCTGGAGGTCTGGAGAGAGGATGGAGCAAGAGGGAGGGAGGGAGGGCCGAAGAGAGAATACAAGACAGGCTTTGGAGACAGGGAAGAAGGGAGTGTAGAAGGCTTGCTGGGTAGGGTTGAGTGCTCTTTTGAGATTTAAAGGGATAAGTTTAGAATGAGACCTGTCAGTGAGCACGTCGTCGTATGGCTTTCTTAGTTCAGCTCCTTGGGGACAGATGACATGTAGGTGGCAGCTGGGTTTAACCAGGACTGGGGTGTTGCACAGTAAGCACAATGGAAGGAAAGAGAGGCAGGGAGGGTGAGGGAGCAGTAGGAAGGCCCACGGACACTAAGCGGGTAGGGCTGGAAGGACAGTCCACTTGGCTGCTGAGCTGCTCCCGGGAGAGGGGAGAACTGTCGGAAGGAAGGAAGGAAGGGCTTGACGAAAGTGAGTTTGGAGGCAGGGGAGGCATTGGTGCCAGATGCCTGTAACGGGGAGGACACAGCCACGTCTGGGCACATGAGTAGAGAGGAGGGCAGCTGGCGAGGATCCTGACTTCCGGCAGAGGAGGAAATCTGGCAGCCCATGGAGCGGCTGCAGGGCTTCCCTACCTCGGCCTGCCTGTGGGGAGGGCTGCTGGGGAGGCAGCATTGGCAGGGGCCAGCCAGGGCTCAGGAGAGCAAGACGGTGACAGGAACGCTCAGGGAAGGGCCCACGGACAGAGGACCTCTGTCGCAAGCAGCCAGAGTTTGGGGGACATGGGGAGAGGTGGGAAATGGCTCTGTTAGTAGCCGTGCCGAGTTTTGGGAATCACAGGCTGTGGGACTGTGGCTGCTACGGGACGCTGGCATCTGTGATACGCGGGGTGGTGGGGCTTTCCTGACTCTGGCCCTGAGGAAGGCAAGTGGTCAGTTAAAGATACAGGGGCCAGGAGTGTGCTTCAGTGGCGGAGTACGAGGCTAGCATGAGTAAGGCCACGGCACACAGCGCACACAGTCCAAAGCGTCTGGGTGGCGAATACCAGGAATCCACGGATCAGAGGGATAAGTGAAGCCAGTGCCGGGACCCGTAAGGTGTCTGGCGCTGTGCTGGGCACATGGCGTGACACTGGTCTAAACCGCGGCTCTGCTTCTGTGTCCCTAGCCTGCCCTGATGCTCTGGACCTGTAACGGGAGCAGACCTCAACCCACACTGCCAGAGCAAGTGCTCCGAGTCCCGGGGGTGACGAGAATCTCTCACTTCCATTTTCACGACTAACTGGGGACGAGACTGCATTCGGTTTCCCCCCAATGAGGATGAGGTGGACTGGAGGCAAAGAGGCGGGTCAGGAAGGTAACCTGGCCAGCGCTGGAGCTGCAGGGCCTCCCGGGCCTAGACTGAAACGTCTCTTCTCTGGGAAGGTCCTAGCAGAGGTGGTGGCTTTCCTTAGACCCAAAGGTGGTTATTGCAGCCCTGGGCCTTTGGCTTCCCTTCCTTTTCCCTTTAGCTGCTTCTTCAGAAGAAATTATTCTGCTTCTTTTAATTTCCCTTTTCTGGTTTTCTGGTCACATTTGTCCCTCCTTGTTTTACCGACGCTGGGGTCTCTTTGTCCCTTGCCCTCCCCAGGTTCTCCTGCGGAGTGCTTCCTGTCTGTCCCAGCCCCTTCCCACACCACTAGATATAGAGTCCAAATTTTGTTCTTTTTTTGTGTGTGGTACCGGGATCGAACTCAGGACGTTGTGCTTCTGAGGAAGGCTGTGGAACCACTGAGCTAAATCGCTGGCCCTGAACTTTGTTCTTTTAACGGGGCCTCTAATATTCTCATTGATGTTGCACCCGAGGGTCTGGGGTCACCTGGCCTGGCCTCTGAGGGCTGAGAGTGTCTCTTTGTGCTAGCTATGAATGGCGGCCCTGTTCTGTCCTGGGCCCTCAAAACCTGCAGGGTAACTGGAGAAAGCCCCCTCCCCTCCTTAGGCTATGCACCTGCTGCTCTTGGTTTTCCTTGGGGGCCACAGGGTGCCCAGGAGGCAGCCAGCTCTCTAAGCCTTGGGTGTGAGGCACCAGCTTAGCAGACCAGGAGTCCTGCCCTGCCCTGCCCTGCCAACACAATGGGGGTCACCCAAACGTGGCCTCTGCTCCTCGCCCCCACTCATCTCCTTACCAGTGGGGATTTGCATCTCCTGCCAGCACAGCAGGGCTGCTAGGATGCTGTTTCCCTCTGGGGCAGGGGGCTTGAACTGCAGATTTTTCAGGCTGGAAAATATCGCACCCAGTTGGCCATCCACACCCTTGCCTGGAGACAGTAGTGTGCAAACCCTTGGGCCAGCCTTGGCCTTGCTCTCTGGCAGAGTGATTTTGCTTGATAGTCCCAGTTTTTCAAACTACAAATATCCACCCACCCCATCAGAGGTGCATAGAGTGCTTGCTTTAATGTTGCTGTTGTATTGCTTTATTATGGCATTAAAATTTTTCATTATTCATTTGGGATAGGTCATGCATACACATGGTACAACATCACAACTGCTAGAAGGTAGACAAGCAGGGGCCATATTCCCCAGCTCCCTTCCCAGAAGTAACTACTGTTACCACTGTCTTGTGTATCTGTCCATAGCTGATCCACACATGTATCTTACTCATTTTTTGTGATAGCCCTTTTGTGTGTGTGATGGTGCTGCTGCTGCTGGACTGAACCCAGAGCCTTCAGGCTAGCCTTTTTTATTTTTCATTTTAATCTGAGACAAGCTGTTGCTAAGTTGCTAATTTTTTTTTTTTTTTTTTTTTTTTTTTTTTTTTT